CGACTTGATATTAGCCTACTAGATGCAGAAAATCTTTGGGATTGGCTAATATTCAAGACTTTGGATCGACTATATAGTTTTAAATCGAAACCTCTAATTTCCAGCTTCAGCCATTTCCAGCTTCAGCCACGACAATAAATAAAAACTGTAAACAAATATATTTATTCTTTTTATAGTATAGTTTTCTTGTATCTACTTTTTAAGTCTATCAACCTTAATATGAGATGGAGGTTGGGATTGTGCTGTTTTCTTTAATATATCAAAGAATTCTTTATTTATTAGAGGGTTGTTCGAACTTATATTGATAATATCTACTTCTGCTAAACTGTTTAATGAAAATAATCTATATATGAAAATGATTTACTTTATAGTTGTTGGAAGAAATAACTGATACCTTTTTTCAAATTCATCTTCAAATAATTCATCTTTTTCTTCGTGATTAGCTTTATAATTTAGAATATTTTTGATATTTTCTAAAGATGCCTACAATTCACAGATCTTTAGAACAAATCAAAACAGATTTCTATTTAAGTATTAGGAATTTATACCATTATACCAAATCTTTTGTTAACTAATGAAATGTCTTTGGCATAATTTTTTCTTTTATTATTTTTAAGATCATATCTGAATTCTTCTTTTTTATCGTTAGCATCTAATTCAATACCAGTTTCAACAAGTACAAACTCTATATCTTCTAGATTTTTGTTATCATTTTTATTTTGATTTGTTGGGAGAGATGTGATCTAAATGATAAAAAGGAAAATTAAATTTACTGTACATGATAAAATAAAGACACAATAGAAAAATATTACTACAATATTTTTTGTTTGTAGTGTGTTAATAACTTTGTAAATTTTTTTAAGACTCTTTTTTTAGAAGCATCCTAAATAATAAAATATATAATAATCAGTTCTGTCGATTTATTTTCATTATCAAACTAAAATATACTCATTGATATCTTCTCTTGATATCTTTTGCTAATGTTGATAATCCAGCATTAAGTGAACCACTATTGACTATTCCAATTCCAATTTCTAGATAACTGCCTTCAAATTTTGATTGGTATATGTAAACTAAGGTGCTAACGAACTTTTTATTTTTTCATAATTTTCAATCTTTTGCCAGCTGGCGATCAGATTGAGAACCCTAGTTATAACTTAGAATTAGTAGTATCTATGACTTCTTGAATATTACTAACTGATCTGATTTAAATCCTATATAGTCGATCCAAAGTCTTGAATATTAGCCAATCCCAAAGATTTTCTGCATCTAGTAGGCTAATATCAAGTCG